AACGTCTCTCAAGTACTTTTAGGACTTAGTTTCAGTACTTCCAATTGATTACTTTATTGAAAAAAGTGAATATTATTACCGGATAGAATGGGCTTTCTTATGCATTTTTGTAAATAAAAATATTCAGCAAAAGATATTTTGTAGGAAAAAATCAATCGATTGCGATTTTTATGGATGCTTTCGAGAATTATTGGTATGCTTTCCAACCTACAAAATTTAAATTTTGTTGAGGTTTTCATGTTTCATGTTGTTATCAACATTTAAAAGGCTTCGAAAAATTATTTTCAATTTCTTTTCAATTTTATTACTCACAAAACGGGAATTATTTGGATTTTTGAATTTTTGACGAAATTCGGTTCTTAGAAGAGGTAGAAAAACATTTTTGAGTTCTTATACTCAACTTATATTGAATTTATTTGGTACTTTTGAGAAGAACCAGCCGGGTACTCAGTACAAGTAATTTTTTTACTTGTTCCAAGTAACAAAATATTTGTGACAAGTACTGAGGTACTTCTCACCGGTACACAGGTACTCGACGTATGAAACTTGCATCAAGCTGTTTTGTAACTTCGAGGAAGTACAAAAATGTGCCTTTTCCCCAGAAACCCCTTGGTACTGGGTACAAGTACTTTTTCTACTGATCAAAAGTAATTTTTTTTTGGTGTAGGTTGATAAAACAAAACAAATTTCTGTTTGAGACGCATGATCCCAAACTCAGACTTTCGAAAATTTTTTAATGAATTCCAAAACTCTCAACTTGAGATTTTTGAAGGTCCAAGTTCAAGACTTGAAAATCTCAATTTAATACAGTGAGAAAAAAAATTACATGTTCTCCTGAACAGATCTTTTGTCATCTTCAATTGAAATTTGAAATGTATAAAATAATTGATAATTTCAAGTGAAAGTTTAAATTGAAAATTTAAATTATCACATTTAAATTTTCAATCGACTATGAATTAAATAATTGAAAATATGGGATTGTAAACTGACTATTGAGCAAATATTTCGAAACTTCCTAAAAGGAAAGATTTTTGATTAACCAAATAATTCGAAATTTAGATATTTAATCGGTGATTAATTTAAAATGTCTACTTTATTTAAAATTTATGATTCTGCCGGTGTCTGGATTTTTTCTGGGTTTGATTTCCATTGATTTTCAGGGAATAATTCAACTAATATTTACAATTTCATCGATTTTTCCATGAAAGTCTAAATGTTCACACTAAAATTGCTTGAAATTTTCGTCTACCTGAAACGTGATCGAAATTTTCAACACTCAGTGGAAAACAATTTACTTCTCTCAAGAACTAAATTATTATATAATTATTATATTATTATATAAATAATACATAATTATTATTATTATTATATTATTATTATATTATTGTATGGTTTACATATTAGGAAATTTTTTTCTCAGTGCATCAAGATCATCTCTGCTGTGTGAATCCTTCCAATCACACCATAATTGTTGAATTTACAATGTCTCTCACCCTGGAAAGTACCTCATAATTAATTCACCCACCAAATTTCGCCACTCTTCGCACACCCATCGACAACATCTGGAGTTGAACCTCCTTAATTCCAGTATTTCACAGAGAAAAAAAAACAGATCACCTATTTAATACCACATCTACCCCACTAATTTACCCCCCTGATAATCTGATAAATCGTACATTCCAGCAATAAACTACCGAGAAAACGCAATTGACCCTATTGTCATAGTTTCTCGATTGCTCAATCTTCCAACGATTATTAGCAGTTGACTCATTGCAGGATGTTACCTTCAAGGCAACGTGGAATGAGTGTACATAGCTCGGAATGCTGCTGACTGACATCATAACATCAGTCCGAAGGTTTCAAAACACGGAAATTCAGGGAATAAAATCATACGTTCAATCTATTCCACTCGCTTCTGTTTCGCATATCATCGCAGAACAAAGGAGAGCAAAAAATTATTCAGCATTTCTGTTATTTCACCTTCTCATTCTACAAAATTGCAATCAATGTAGATATTCCTTACTCCACCGACATCAATTATAATTTAATTCACACATTAATTCTCAGAATTTTTGGGATAACAAAAAACAAGTGAGAAATTGCTCTTGTCTTCATATGCTATAATTATTTTTGCTGATAAATTAACAATATACTTCCGAATGGTCATTTTGCACATCATTTTCTTCTATGGCATAAAATTCATTGTTCAGTTTATGTTATTAAAATGACTGAGATTTATTTTTAAATAATTGTGTCGGTTTTTCAACTCAGCTGAATGTTATCATTATCATTATTCTTATTATCCGTTTCTTTCAAACAACCGATTGTCTTTTTTGCGGTGCGAACACTCCCCTCGGCCCTTTGTTGCTTCACGGGCTGACATTTTCGTTCTAACTACGTGGCGTTTACTTCAGGAGCTATATTTATTATTCACGTTTTGGTGTTTATATTTTCGTTCAACGGTTTCCTAGTCATTGAAATTGGCTTTTTTATCGGCTCTGTATTCCACTGGTTTATCGTCTACATAAGCCACATTTAGGCCGTTGTTGTCGATTATTATTAATTTATGATGGAAAATTCGAAATTTGCAAAAATCATCGTAACAATAAAATCAACAGATATAGCTATCATAATTATCATTCAACTTCGACAGTGTGGCATTGAAACTACCATTTTAAGCTACAATTGAATTCATTTGAAGCATGATATCTCAAGATATTCCCGGAATTCTGATTTTTTTTTTTTTTTTTACGGCCTTGGAGTCCCTTTTTCGGGTCCCATTCGGCACTCTATCCAACCCTATGCATGCGGCTGTGGATTCTACACTGTACCGCATTCGCACTTCTATAGAACATAGAAGTAGCATGGGGAAACCACAGAAAACCCATGCCGGTACAGGCGGTTCCTCTATTAGCAACCTCCCGCTCGCCGGAGCCTTCCGTTGAAAAATTCGGTTCCACGGGGAATCGAACTCACAACCTTTCGCACACTAGACTTGCGTCTAATCCACTCGGCCACCGACGTCGGTGAATTCCGATTTTCAAAAGTACCAAAATTTTACAAATTTTTATATAAATCAAAACAACGATTATTGCTATCGTCCTCATCTTCGGGCTAGGTCGAAAGGGCACTCAAACAAATTTTTGAAATCGTTCAATGAATTCAAAACATTTTTTTTAGCTATCGTGGAAAAACCGATTTTTGGAAAAATTCAAAAATTATAAAATAAATCAAATTTGGAAAGTTTTATCTTAAATTTAGATATAATGTGCAATAAATTATGGACTAAAACCATAAGAAAAAAAATTACATGAAATACTCGTATTCGGAAAAATATGAATTGGAGTAAAAAATTTCTTATTGAAGAAGATTTTCAATGTCATCAAGAAATTACATCTGTAGGTGGAACAAATGAAGAATGTATTGTCAAAGAAATTTTCATAAGTAAATGAATAGCTGAAATTTCTGAATTAGCATAAGTTTCGGTTCAAAAGGTCGTAACGTAACCCGAGGTTCAAAGGGCTGAATTACGCTCGGAAAATTGACGTAACATTTCGGATGAACTGCACCGTTTTGACGGAAATGAGATGCCAGTGAGATTAGTAGTTTACCAAAGGAGCTAAACTAGTTCAATACTGATGTCTCGGGTGTCTACTCTGACCCTTCCCACTCAACTATTTCGAGTTTATTGTCACACCCTGGTTGAGAGTGGACTAATGTGTCTTGTGGGAGTCAACAATGGATGAACTATTGTTCCGTAAGTCACATCAACGATGTAATATCGACATTAGCGACCTCATCAAAGAAATCTCCTATTCATCGCGTCGATTCTAGTGTTCACTCTCATACGGTGTGAAAACTTCGGGAAAAATTGCGCGACTGAACGTGAAAGTGAGGCGAAATACTCTTCTGGGAATTTTTATTTCATTGGGTTAATGTAAACAAAACTTCGAATAAAACTTTTTATTAATTTTGAAAAAAAAACCTACTTGATTGAAATAAATCAGGAGCGAAGCGGTAAAACGATTCAAGTCGATTTATACTCTTGGCCAGATTTCAAAGAATATCTCGAAATCTGGAGATCGTGGCAAAATTTTTGTCACGACCTTTTTCGTAGACTAAGTTGAGCGTTACAAAAAAAGTCATTATGAAAATTTCGTTATCTCCCTTCGATTTAGAGATATTCCTCAAAAACCCACGGCAAGATTTTTTTCATCTAAAAAGTATGTAAAAATAACAGAATAATCAAATCAACAAATCAATAATTGGACACATTCTCAAATAACAGTAAGAATTCTTTCACGTTAAACATTATGCGCAATCGTCATTTAACATCGTCCGGATTAATCAACATACACAATGAGTCTATCTTTGGCACATCTGACACTGATCCACTCTCCGGTACTATCGCAAAGAGATAGGTTCACAAAAATTTCGAAGAATTCCATAAATGAAAAAATAAGGGAGTCCACTTTGCTCCAGGGGTTCATTTTACCCTACCCTCCACTTTGTCGTCCCCTCCAAAACTGTTTATTAAGTATAAATAAGTACAACTGATCCCAATTTTTCCCCTCTCTACAAGCGCGCCCGGTGGGGTCATAGGGATTCCCGGAATTCTCCTACTGTCGCCAAGGTATCTTATATAAAACCTTGACCGTAAATAATTTTTCTGGGCGCTCCAGATGCCTGATTAATTAAAAAAAAATTGATATCCCTCGAAAGCATCGAAACCCCCAATGTTAAAAGCCAAAACCCCCGCAATTCACCCGCCCCTCCCCTCCCCTCCAAATGCCTAATTAACTTAAGAAAACTATATAACCTTAAAATCATAAAAACCCCCCAATTTCTTATGCACATCTCGGCAAATCCGAACGAATTCTCTGTCGCGCACGCTTCGTGCATCTCCGCTGGCGCTCGCCCCCCTCCCCTCCCTCGTTCGGCGTCGCCCGTCGCTCGTGGACACTCGGCTGGCTGCAACGCACCTCAGTGAGCAGTAAGCCGTCGCGCGAGACGCCCAGATAGACACTTCGTTCCCCAAGAAGTTCCAAAAGTCTCGTAAATTTTTTTTTCCACCGACAGAAATTGAAAAACACTGTTGTAATAATTAATTTCAGTCGGTGACTCCAGTGAATTCACACTCTCGGTGTTGTTGATAGTCGATTGAGCCCTCGAATAGGAAAAACTGAAGTGATAAACACACGTGAGTGATCCAATTGGAGTTGTTTTTATCGCCCGAATGATCATGTGCTGTGGATTTTTCGTGTGATTATCGGGGGAATTCTAATTGTTGGGCCATTAAAGAATGATTTTCCGTGATGCCGCGGGCCGGGAGATGAGGCAATGATACTCGCCGGAGATACGACCTTCCAGGGGGCGCATTTGTGTACTTGAAATTTGTGTTTTCTTTTTTTTGAGTTTATTATTTTCAGTGCAAGTGGTCTTATGGTTTGAGTTTATGAGTTTGGAGATCAACGATTATTCAGTGGATGGTTAATTTTGTTTGAGTTTTTTTCGAGGATGACTCGGTAATTATGGATGCGAGAGTCTCGAAGGATACTGCTGTATTTTGGGTGAGTAGCAATGGCGACAATTGTTGTTGTAAATAGTGGCATTTAGACTTTATTTAATTCGTTTTCATTCATTCAACTTCACGTGAAATGAGAAAAAAATTGAATGAACGAATTTCGTTCGGTTTTTCGGGGATTACTTCGTGGGAGTGGGAGTCAGGGGGTCGCAAGTGACCCCAGTGGACAATTTCCGGCTCCGAACCCTGGTCATAACCCCCTTTATCTCGATCTGTTCACGAGTTACGAAAAAAATGATTTTTGATTGTTGAGATCGTTGCTGATCGGTATCTGCTCGACAAATGCAGACAAATGAGTTTATAACCAGGGGTTGAGATCGGAAATTTCCCCGGCTAGAAAACAAGCCCAGTTGCATTGAATTATACCCCACCGTTCTCGAGATATCGCGAAAAGAGTGGAAATCGGTTTTTTTGGGCTCAACAAATCAACGGATTTCGATGAATATTTAGTCAGAAAATATTTGTCACCGATATTGTACGAAGTGCATTCACTTTTTTATTGACACACGTCACAGCCCAGTGACGATATTGAATTAATGAATCGAATGCGGATGCCTGAGAAATGGCATTGGTGAATATTTTTTTTTCTAATTTCCATTGCGACACCTGTCGATTCATCAATTCGATCGTTACCACATTTTTTTTCTTCGTATCTCGTGAATATTTTTTTTCATCAACTTTAAAGGGGATATGATAATTGGATATATATTAGCATATTACCAATTTGTGCTTTGGGAATTAATGTGGTTATTTTTGCGGCTTTGTCTGGGTGAAAGGAGTGATGGGAATACTTTTTTCGTTTGATAACTCAATTTTGGAACGCGCGCTCGTTATGCTTAATTAAACATTTGGGGAATTCTGCTGGGAGGACAATTTTGCAGGAATAATTTTCAGTGGAACGTTTGACTGTGGGATGGCGAGCATATTTGTTGGTTATGGAGGGGGGAATTAGTGCACGTGTGAATGATTCTGGTTTGGGGGTTGGAAATGTCAGGAGACTTTTTTTTTTGGTGGAGTCTTCAACAGATGGAGGGTTATGAAAATAGGGAGAGGGGTTTGTTTGTTTGGGGGCGAATTGATTCCTGAGGATTTTTAGAATCTAATGATCTTTATTCTATCATGAATTCGAGAATATGAAATATTTTTGATAGAGATTGAAATACTTTAAATTCAGTAGCGAAGCGGTAAACCGGGTTAAGTCGATTTTGAGTATTTGGCCAGTTTTTGACGAATATCTCGGAATCTACTAGAGATAAAAAAATTGTTGTCATGACCTTTTTTGTAGAGCCAATGGTGGCTTATAAAAAAGGTCATGAAAAAAATGTTCCTATCTCTCTTAGATTCCGAGATATTCATCAAAAACTGGCCAAAAGTCAAAATCGACTTAACCCGGTTTACCACTTTGCTACTGATTTGTTTTTTTTTTATGATTTTCCATTGTGTTGAGGACATTTGAATAGTGGAATGTTGACACTTCGCTCTGAAATTCTTGGCAAATATTTTCATTTTCATTATGTTAGATTTCACAAAAACTTCATTGTGGAATTTTTTTTTTCTATGATTTCTACAAATGTCAGTAGAAATTTGATTGGGTGGAGTCTTCAACAGATGGAGAGTTATGGAAATAGGGAGAGGGGTTTGTTTGTTTGGGGGCGAATTGATTCTTGAGGATTTTTAGAATCTAATGCTCTTTGTTCAATCATGAATTCGAGAGTATGACATAATGTCGTTAGAGATTTAAATATTTTGAATATTTTTACATGATTTTTTATTGTGTTGAGGACATTTGAATAGCACCATGTTGACATTTCACTCTGAAATTCTTCAGTTTGAGAATAGTTTCCTATTTAGCAACATATAGAGGTGCAAAATTAAGTCATTATGGCAGATTTCACAAAAACATGATTGTGAAATTATTTTTTCTATAGAAATTTTTTTTGCAAAAAACATGCAAGAAATAGTACAAAAATTTGTACTACACACGTCTCTACAATTTTTCTCGTAAATTTTTTATGAATTATCTTTCAAAAAATGTGAGAATTATGATTTCTGCAGATGTCAGTAGAAATATTTTGGGCTGAAGTTTTCAATAGACGGGGGATTATGGAAATGGGCATAGGGGTTTGTTTGTTTGGGAGTGAATTGATTCTCAAAGAATTTTAGACATAAATAATCTTTATTCAATCATTAATTTCAGAATATGACATATTGTCGTTAGAGTTTACAATATTGTGAATGGTTTTTTCATTATTTTCTAATATACCGAAATCATATAAATTCATCAGTTCGAAAATAACTTAGATGAAAAATCAAATCATTATATCAGATTTCACAAAGACTTCATTGTAGAATTATTTTATCAACAGAAAAATCCGTTGCAAAAAAATATTCAAGAAATCCTACAAAAATCTGTGCTGCATACGCCACGTCTCCAATTTTTCTCATAATTTCTTATAAATGACCTCTCTAACAAGGTGACAATTATATCCACAAATTTTCAAAAAATTAATCCCAACAAATACTGATTTTCGCATTAATACAACTGCGTGCAACTTCAGCAACTATTCATCACACCTAGCATACATAATACAATAGTACCACCTATGGTCTGTAGGCAGATACGTTCGCGCAGTGCATAATGTATATGCTCTTGACTCTATGTGGGGAATAATACGATACCGTGTGTACAACAGATGTTTTAGTACTGGTTTTTTCTTCTCGGAATGAAACATAAGATGAATATCGAGTGCTTAGGGGCAAAAAGTCACCGAGAGTCGGTCTAAAGCTGTTTCATACATCCTTTTATTTCTGACTGGGTTATGTTCATGATCATCATCATTATTTTTTTACATACTCGCACTCGTAAAACTTCACGACAATCGCTGATGTGGGTCGGAGGTCAGTGAGATGACGTAAAAAATCTGTGCCGAGTCGCAACGTCCTTGAGACGAAATCGTAAATAAGTTGAGACATTTGAATAAACATTTAATGAAGATTCAGGAGGGGGGGGGGGAAGTGATCTCGCTCGTTAGCCATTAGAGATGCGAGGATAAACGTCGCAGTTTTATTTATTCTGCTTGGAAAGAGGGACATTTTTATCGCCATTTTTTTCCAGTAGCTCTAATACTTCTGGAGATATTCGCATTTGAGGATTAAAAATTCAACGTAAATCCAGATTTCCGTGTTTCTTGGAGGCATCTCGGTGAGTAATGGAGGTAGAGGACAAAAGTTGGGATGAAAAATCTTGGACTTGTCGAGACAAACATTTTTTATATTTAAATTTTTCTTCTATCTTCGTAATTAATGAAGATATCTGTAATTAATCACCAAGAACAAAGAACAATAACAGAAAAGTGTGTATATCTCGAAAACCGCCAGTGGTAGAATAAAATATTGCATACAAAAAATGTTCTTCTTTTTGAAACGGATATTTTTCGCACTTAACGTTTTCTCCTATCTCCATTAGCAACTGAGATATTTGCAGTCAGCCATTTTAAACAAAGAACTTCAGCGCATATCTCGTGTATCTCCGTAATTCTGGGATGTCGTAAAAAGTGTTCAACACAAAAGACATTCGTTTTGTCAAGCCGAATATTTTTTGTATCCAACATTTTTCTCTATCACCATTATCACCGGAGATATCTCCATTTAACATTCAAACACAAAGAGCTCCAGCCTTTTATCCCAAATATCTCTGTAACCATGGACGATATCAAAATACGTTTCACAGAAAAAAAGTTACTCTCGCCGAGCCTAAGAATTTTTAGTTCGAAACTTTTTTCCGCATCACCAATGGTTACAGAGTTATTTCGCAGTAAACGGCCGTTTTCTTACTTCCCCCGAGTCAATGCCCTTGAGACTAATACCCAAATAAACACGCAGAAAGGCGGAAGCTTACGTGCCTGTGAGTCTGTACCCTGTATTACAGTATTTTCCCCTCTCGAATGAAAATGACAAGCCCCATATTCTCCCTCATTTCCCCCTCTCCCCCAACCCCTGCGTTAATTAGCTACGCGTGATTAATGCAACCAGAGGGAGACTTAGAGAATAGAAAGAGATATACAGAAACAGAACGTACGTGATTCACCCGAAACGACGACGTTCCTCCATTCGCCCCGGGATTTACCCGACTTTGACTTGTTCCTTGTTTTCTCTTTGTTACCTAATGTTGTCTGCCTGTTTGAGGATCATTTCAGACAATTCTATGGGAATGCCAATTTTTTTTCCACGAAAAGTTTCTTTCGAGATGAGTTGTAAGGTTGTAATGACCCCATTTGATACACCGGAAAATGTTCAGCTCCGAAACAAACAAAACAGCCTTTCTATCACCTTTTGTTATCCAGTTATCGTGAAAATTTATTTCGGTGTGTCAATAAGCTATTGCCATGTACCTCGCATCAATTAATCGGAGTAAATAGGTTCATAAGTAGGGTTTTGGGTCGGAAATTTCGCAAGCTTTCCAATGCAACTAACGCCGTTGCGTTATCTTTCACCGTTATCAAGATATTGACAATTATCGGAAACTAGAATATTCGAATTTTTGTATTTTCGGGGGAAAATTTACGTTTTTCTTTTCTAGTTTTATTCTATCAAATGTTTGAGCGGTTTTGCTCGACTTTGCCATCCTCGAGGCGATAAAATATAAGAGAGAAGACCTTTCTCTTCGCTGTTCCTTCGATTCATACCTCGGAGGGTCCCAGCGGGACTGCCTATAATACAAACGCGTCTATACGCAGACCGGTATTACCACTTCTTTCTTCTTTTTACGGTCTCATTCCATGGGTTTCTCTCTTTCTACTTTTTTTTCGTCCTTTATTCACTTCGAGGTATAACAGACTCACCACCGAGAAACTTGAAGTATTTCAGAGTTGGCTTAAATCATTATTTCTTTTTTATTATATCATTCCTTCAATTTTTTTTTGTTACTTACCTTGAAGATTTTTGTTATGTCGTAATGAGGGGATTTTGGTGAGGGTTTAATTTAGC